GTCCAGTAGACTGCCCGTCAGCATTTCTCATGTTCTTAAGCTTTGTTTACACTTCTGCAAGTGAAGCGACTTTGCTTCCAACAACTGAATGATGTTAGCTGTTAGGTTTTAATATTATTAAAAATTCCGGTTGCGTGATTGTTTTCACGGTGTGCGGAAAGTTCTGGGGCCCTTCATTTAACCCTACAAGATCTTCTTTCAAGGGGCATACAATGGGAAGCAGAGACACTATTGATTGCCTGGCATTGCATTAATACTGCAGCAAAGTAAATCTAACTGAATCCCAGTTTACACAGCATGTTTCATGGCAACTTACAGTGAAACAAGCAGCAGAAATACAGCCTCAAATAACCAGCCTTTTACACCATTAATAAACTAACTGCTGTTTGGGGCAGTTAACGACATTCTCCGTTCTTTTCCAGTGAGATAGTGTGGTCCTTCTTCTGACGTTCATTAATCCACATTAATGGTCCATCTATCATTATAGTGGTAGCTATCTATCTGTTTTCCCTCGTGAAATAGCTCGTAGTTGTGAATGTCTGTGCACATCTAAGAAGGTCATGATCTCCACACTTTCCTATGGATTTATTTTAAATGAATAACTGAAGAATCTGGATTTAGAAACTTTGAGGTTCAGATCTACAATGGTAGGATCTAAATGTTGTTCCCTGCTCCCTTGTGGTGACGGGTGGGGAGATGGGGGGGGGGGGCTGAGAAAGAATTTAATTTCTGTTTGAGATATACGACCTAAAACATCAATGGAAACGAATCAATATCATCAATAGCCTACTGCATCTACCTGAATAAATTTAAACTTGCGTAAAAAAAACTGCGTTTTCATAATTTATCTGAAGGTCTTTAGCAGGTTAAGAGGGAATGTTAATAGACTGCTCGGAATCTGTCGAGTGTAAATTGTTATTACGTCTCCAGATCTGTAATAGGATTAGATCATTTCTATGATGACACAGACATCATCCTGGTTTTCATAAGACTTAAAAGATTCATAAGACTACCTTAGAAGATCTGTAGCAAGGCAGCCTTCAAGTATTCATTCATCTCATGGCTGTTTGTGAGCCCTTGTTGGCTGCAACGTTTGCCTACAAATACAGACACTACACTTGGTAATAATTAAGATATTTCAGCTTCATGAGGGACTATATAAATAACAAGCATTTTCTTCCTTTCTCGCTCATTTCCTTTCTGGAATTAACAGATGCACGGAATTATAATAAATTGAATCAAATTGACGTTGTCTCTAACTGCAATTTTTTAATGTTTGGCTTATTTGAATCTTGAATTAATATATTTAATTGCTTCTGTTTAATATAAACAAGAGCTCAGGGGCAATAGTCTTATTTAACTGGCCAATTTCTACGCTCTATACTTTAATGAGATGACCTAATCTGTACCAAGCCTATAATGTGTGAATTACTCCAAAGGCAATTGATCGTATCACCAACAGAATATTGCAAAAATGTCCTAAAGGTTTGAAATTATATTAAAAAAATCAGTTTCTGAAAAATTGAGGAAGCAAATAAATACAATATTAGAACTCGTGCAGCTGCATAATGAAGCGAATTAGCAATAATATTCGCGAGATGGTAGATATGTGCCTTGCAGTTGTGGAGTGTTCCATTTGGCAAATATTATTTGGTCGTTCATATTGTGAATCTACTTTTAATCGAGGCATGAATATCATTGAAACACAAGTGCATCCATCTCCACACACCTGCAGTCAACAGCATCCAGAATAGATGGTAATCTGGTAATATCAGGAAATGCTGATTTGCCACTTGCTGACAGTGGCTTCAAGGGAACTGACCAGATTGATGTGCCTCCATGGCCAATCAAACAGTCATTTGCTTTATCAATATTTGCATCATGGACACAGTAAAGGCTTGAATAATTAATAAGGACACTTGGAAGGAGCCAAAAACACCAAGGGTGAAAACTGCAGAACTGCAGTTGACAAAGTGACGAAAGTGCAAGTCTGATGTATATTCCCTCTCAATTAGAGGCAATTTAATTCTGTCATTATACTTTCTTCTGTCCATTGTTCCTGTCCTTAGCGATACTAAACCTCCTGCTACCCATGCTATTTCCACCGTCATTCTTACATTTCTTCATTGAAATGGCATTGCTCAGATGAGTTTTAACTTGTCTGAAAACCACCGGGAGTTAACACCGCAATACATTATGCAAAACTACACGGCAGATATAGTTACTGACACAACATGTTTGTTACAAAAATTCTCAAGTGCCCCTTAATTATACTGTCGGTCAGAATTCATGTCATTATATTCTTTATATAGTGCAAAATGCAAAATCCTGGAAAATATGGCCCTAGGGTAATTTCAGGGGATAAAAAAAACAACATTACCAGTAAAAAGTAACGTTAAGTGGATAAGCCAGCTCTCATGTAACGTTTTGAATTTACATAAAAGTTCACAATTTAATACACCTTCAAATCAGCATAAATAAACATGAATAAACAGTAAGTCTTCAAAAACAATATTAAAGCGCTCTCTTATCGACCATCACAGAAAGCTTAGAGTCTGAAGTTCACCTCTCAGAGGATTTCCAGGTTATATTCCATTGGCTTCCTTGACCACGTGACACTCAATCTTACAGAAATCAATGAAGGCAACATAAGTGGTTTCTCCTGAGCCGTGCTCACACTTCCAAGGCTTGTCAATTTAACCAATCACTGTGAAACACAACAACAACTTGCATGTATATGGTGCCCCTCATACAGGATAGCATCTTTGAGTCCTTAAACTCTCAGTGTAAACCCGTCATGAGAAGATCACCAATATCAGGTCAACTGAGTTTCCAGAGTGCTACATACCCACCGTGGGATAAAGTCAAACACTTTAGTTTATTTCCAGCGGCTTAGCATAATAATTAAACACTGAAAATGCTAAGCAAATATTTGAGTCTGCAATTTTGGTCCAATCAATTACATTCCGTAAAAAATTCATTTGACTATGAGATGAAAATTTTAATTCAGTCTGTTCACAGCAAATTGCATCCTCGTTTTCATTGGTACCAGCAAAGCGATGTCACACGTGTTCACTGTAATCAATGCAGTCACTGTTTCCTGACAACATTGTTGAATTCTGCATCTCACATGTTATTCTGCACCGATTAGCTGCTTACTGGTAAGGGGGGGGGGGATGGACATTATAATCAATTTATTTGCAACTCTATTTTGTCTTGTCATAAGTTTGATCACACGACCCGATACTTAAAGCACTTTTGCATTTTGAGTGACAAAATGACTCGTAAAGCGTTTTACTTTGCAATATTTGTTGTTAGAGTAATGAGGTAGTTGCCTATTCTGAAGGAACTTTTACAGAATAGACTAATGCAAGAAAATAATTGGTCAATTTTACTAATTGAAATTTAAGCTGACGAAGGCAGTCACTGCACATTCCTTACAACTTCAGGCAACAATCCTTCCGAAGAGTTCAGTTGCAATCTTCAAAATTGCTTTCAATTTCGAGGTGGATGTCTCCATGATTTCTTTGTTTCAGTGGAAAACCACATCCTACACTCCCTTGCTAACTCGCCTTTCACCTTAAATGTTTCCCATTTAACTTCATTCTGCTTTCTTCAATTTGCAAATTTACAATATTTCTATCGGACAGTCATACCTTTCAAACCTCTTGAGTGCAGTGATTATTTCACACACTTTTATATTGTACTGTAGCAACCTCTAACACAAAACTCAGTCATTTACTAAACAAGTTTGTACTCTGAAATGTTTTATTTTCTATTTCCTCCTAAGTATTTGGTTGAGCCTTCATTGACATTGACTTTGACAATTGCCTTTTGATTATTTTTTTCTAACATGAAATCCTACTAAATTGCCAACAATTCCTAAATGCATTTTACCAAAGCATGTCTGTGACATGTTGCTGTTTAAAAATATTCACGAATAAAAGAAATAAACTTCTTCTGGCATGTCTTTGCTTCACACCCCTTTTTCCTTGAACACATTTTAGGTCCTTGTTATTTGAGAGGAATATTTTGCATTTTCATACCAATGATACTTACGCAACGTTTACATTTTTTCTTGTGAATTCCTGGTTGAATACAAAAGTGTTTTCCGCCTTCTTATTGTTTTGCACAAAAAACAAAACAATTCGATGCAAAGAGGTTGTGTTTCATCCAGTTTCAGGGACAACTCAAGCTCCAATCTCTTTTGTTTCTATTTAGAAAATAAAATGCTTCGTAGACTGACTCACAGCTTCTTTGTTTATGTCAATTAAGATGTAACACTCAAAACAGATATCAGCAAAGAAGTAGCTGAACTAAGGGATTTGATGCTTCAGCTCAATCTTTGCTTCTTTTATGCTGTAGATTCTGCCCTCAATGTTATCATGAATAACACACGAATACTGTATATCTGTGATACACATATTGCAGCACTCAATATCACGAGCAAAACTCACCAGTACTAATTCACGGTGTGCTCAGATATGTCAGTGTGGTATATGAACTTATGTTAACAGACTTATTCAGACAGATATTAAAAAGTCATTAATCATATCGATTTTATTCTGCTGATATTGAATTAGGCTAATGTGGTGACTTGCACCATCAGTAGAGTGTGCCAGATAATGATTTGGAATGTGCAGCCACAACTAAAGTTAATTGCAATTTGCTCTGATAATTGGCTAGGTTGATTTTTTTTCGTGGGTTTTAGTGCAGCAGATTTACCATTATGTTAAACCAATGTTGGAATTTGTGAACAGGCATTGATACCTGTCTAAATGCCTAGACTGAACCGTGGGTGGTAAACTGATGAAACATTTTATCAGCCCAACTCGTAAATTTCCCGCAGTTGACAGTCTGGCTCAGTTAGTTGCACTCTTGTCTCAGAGTTTGATATTGCTCTTGGAGGCTCCTGTGGCATGCTAGACTGCTTTAAAAACTGTAATTGATTCAATAATAAATTAGTAATCTTTACCACAAAAGTACATTTGACGGCTTACCAAAAAATATTGAGGATTGCACAAGTTGTAAGTCCTCCGATGATAGCTCGCCGGAACCACAAAACCTTCAGCAAGAGAAGAAACAAAACTTGACGTAAAGTGTACAGTACATGAGGAGCCAACAGAACACACAGCGATTTAATAAAATCTTTAATATAACAAAGTCAACAACTTATAGTCAACACATTATTATGCTGTCTTAGCTGATACAAAGTGACTAAAGAATTCAACAACAGCATCAAATTAGACTTGTGCAGCGCCTTTCACGTCAGGAGGACGTCACAATTCATTCATACAATCATTTGGAAATCCAAGTAAATGGTCATTAATTATTTAAAACCCGGAGTCTAGGAATCCTTAATTCAGGCAATTATTCCAACATGTCAATGTACGTTATTATTTCAAATTCTGATCTGAGATTTTAGCTTTTTTTGTTTTCTAGACTCCTAGACTGGGAGGAAATTCTACCTGGGTCTAGAATTTGTTTATTTAGCAATTTATACCATCCAGAATTTGGCTTAACTTTGAAGTTCTGTATATTTGACACTATTTTCTAGTAAATGCTTTGTACAAATCAATACCAGTTTATTCTGAGTAAGTAAGACACTTCTCTTTTACCAAATAATATAAGAATGAAGGGATTTATTTCCGTCGCTTCAGGTTTCCAATGATTACCATTGAGCTATTACGGACAGGTTATTAATTAAGATATATTCTTTCTGCCGAACTAACATACAAAAATGCTGTGTTTAAATATATAATGAAGCATCAAGGATATCCAAATGATATCCAAGTGAGAAAAATATTGCAATGAATCTATGTGAAATAAAAGTACTATGTTACCTGGCATCTGTTCTGTGAAATCTCAGAAAATAACATTGGCATCACATTTACAACTCCTCCTGAAAAAAAGAGAAATCAAGGGCATTAATAGATATCAATTTTGTTTCATTTATTTATGGTCGCACAGTTTCATTGAGAATCCACATCTTTGTTAGCTTCAAAAACTCCCTAATGTAATTTAATTTCTAAAACATTAAATGAAAAATCTATGGACAGAGTAGATAGCTTCTGTATTGTACAATCTATGTGAACCTCAATAGAGGGATGTTTGGCATCTTTTTCCTTTAAAACGATAAGGCTGACAAAATTGGTTGCAAGATAATCGGTTCAAGTTGCAAAATGTATATTTTCCGGGAAAGCATGAAAAGCACGTAAGACATTTGAACAGATATTCAGCTAAAGCTTCAGGATATGTTGTTGTGAGACTTTAAAAGACCAAGTTCAACCATTTATTTTTTTCCAGTATATATATATATATATGTATATTTGGGTCAGGCGGGTGACTGAATGTGGCTCTCACCTTTAGGTCTAAAGGTTGTGGGTTCCAGTCTCATGTTAGGAACGTTGAGTTCACATACTAAGCGGACGCACCAGTGCAGTGTTGGGAGAGCACTGTTGGATGCATTTTTGTTCAGATCAGATGTTAAACTTAGGTACATGGTGTCTGTTGTAGAAAGTAATTGAACAGTATTCCTAACTGCGTTCGGTTGGAAAATTGTGCCCATTTCATTTTAATTCTACATATTCAGATTGTGCCAGTAAAAAGATTAAGCTTACTTTTATACAGATGTTCTTTAAAGATATTTTCCAATTAAATTGTTCCTGAGAATAGCTGATATTTTGTAATATTCATTCTTAATTGAAAAAAACATTGATTCGCTCCTATGATTGAAGCCTTCAATATCCACCACACAGTCTTATAAACAATGGCCATAAAATAGGAAAATATTCAAATAACAAACCTCATAGAAACTGGTTTCTGAGTTACTATAGAAACCATCTACTGTGATTCTAAAGGTCAAACCTTCATTTTCTGAGCCTGATCCGAAAGCAATAACTATCCAGATTGTTTATACAAGTATAGTCTGGATGTTTTAATAAGACACGTCTAGATGGGCAATCACTGGTTGAACAGGCTGTGTGAAGCTTTAATCTCGATTTACTTTTCATTATCTCAATTCTCACCAGAAGCATTCACTGGGTTTTAAAGGGAAAAGCACAATGTGGGAGGGGGGGCGAGAGGGCATTTTCAAAATAAGTTTCCCTCCGTGGAAGGGTTTTTAAAAAGATATATAATTTTCTGTGCATCCCACAGAGATAAGTTAATTTGAGAATGATCTAAAATCAGACTGGGAATCGCTATCATGTTGGGTCGTCTAATTATAAAATGAGCTTGAATGAGATGCTTTTATCAGACCCATGTCGCTGATACTGATCTGGGCAGCAAACTCATATCACTTGTGTTCCTGGCTGCTAATGCTGGCATGCATTTAAATGTACTTACATTAAAGGTTTGATGCGGCTTATTTTAGGGTTCTTATTCAATTGATGTCCTACTAGAACAACCTTGGTCAAACTTCTGTCACGTGCACCAGAAAGAGGATGGCAATGTGCAAGTTTTCTGGAAGAATGACAAGAGATGCAAATATCCATCATGAAGGTGTGTGAAGGTGTGCTCCTTGTGTGAGGACATTCCGTAGATAACAGTAGTGTCCAAAATACAACGTGTTTGGCTCCTCAGTGGGCACTAACGATCATTTACCGTTGAAGGAAGCTGCCTTTCCAAATGTTGAAATCTTCTTGTCTGTGTTTCTGCTCGTTTTACTGTTATTTGTTTTCAGACACCCCGTGCTGCACGTTTTTGGTGTTTCTTGTTTTGGCTTTCTTGACTGATCTTCCAAAGGCTATGTGCCTGCCTATCCTATTTTCTGGATCTCAAACTGGCGTAGTACTTCCTGAATATTGAACTGGGAGCAGGCACCGCAAAGCAAATCATCGGTAATTTGTTATTCCTAAGATCAGTCTTGGGTTTTGCTTGTTTTGTATGTGCCATATTCCTAATATTTCTTTGCATGGTCATAATTTCACATTGCGGTTTGCAGTTCATGTCCTTCATTCCAAAATATATTGTGCACAGGAACCTATAATGACTTTTTGAGAGCTGTGTGGATTCACGATTTACTGGTCATAAAAATGTTAGAGCAATTCGATATTTAATTATCTGCAGCATTTTTCTCGCGTCCTACATCCCGAGCTTTTGACTATTTTGTTCTACAGCAAGGCATTTCTGCTTTAGTAAAACCTTACCGGTCAATCTGTATTTCCCAGGGGGTTGTCTTTATTTTGAAATATGCTTTGTGATAATATTCATCTGCCCTTTTTCCTTTACAGAAAGCAAGCAGGCACTGGCGAATATTTGGATACACATTATGTGGCGAACTTTCTTTTTTCCACAACTCTTGTTTCTTTCAGGATGCTTCTTTTTTTAATATCCGCAGAATATTGAAGCAATGGGGAGATTGATTTATGAATAACAGCAGGAGTGATTAAAATTGCCTTTCTTTTAAGGTATAATTGGGATAGAATATTCACAGGGGTGACGTCAAATATGTTTTTCACATTTGTCTTCCAGGCAAAAGGCAACACAGTGAAAGACAACAAAGTACAATGCTTTGGTCACAATATCTGCCACTGGAGGGCCATCAAAGGTGAAAGAATAACTGCATTGCGGGACCTTGGATATTAATTGTTGTTTAATGTGGAGTTCTCATTTAAAGGACAAGCAAAGATTAATTTCTTTTGCCTTCCGATGGCACTCCCCCTGCTTCATAATCAGCTATATATTTTTCCATTATAATTTTGTCTCCCGTTGTCGCCTCTGTTGAAGGCATTGGCTCCTTTTTCCTTTCTACTGGTGCCAATGTCTCCACAGACAATAGCGGACCTCAGGTATCCTGTGTGACTGGACATTTGTCAACGGAGGTTCAACAAACCTTACCACAGGGAGCATTGGAGCTAAGCTGAGCTCAAACCTTTAGGGTTTCCACAGTCGTTAAAAAAAGATTTTTTCTTCCTTGATATTGCACCCTCATCACTACTAGTGCTGGTGAGGCCCAGCTAAGTCAAGAACAAAACAACTTCAACAGCAACTTGGTAATCGTATAAATCTAACATCACTGAACTGGGATCCAGTTTAGAATACAGCCTTAATCTCACTTGTTTCAGCCCTGGATATCCACCATTTGAGCTCTCCCAGCTCTGCGGGAAACAACTGTGTTGACACGAGCTCTGGGTGTGTCACTAAGCAGCTCTAGAGGGCTATTCACCGACATTGCCATTGTTGATGTACTAACATCTGGGGCCGTCCTGGATTCCAGACATCTGAGTTTCAGAAAGGATCTGAGTTTGGAGAAATTCCGAGCCAGCTGGTGCTCAACGTGAAACACGACATAGAATCCATTACTGGAGGAACAGGTGTAAATAATTCCAGACTTTAACTCGCATTTAACAAACTGAAGCCTAACATCCTTTGTGATGATTTCTGATTGGGTTTTGAGAAGCAGGTGCAATTAATGAACATTAATATTATTGTTAATGTGTCTTCCAGAGTCAGGGGGAAGCATGAGGAACCATTTTTGAAATATATACGTCCCCCCAACACAACTGGTGTCTACCTCTCTTTTAAACATCCCGTCTGATCAGCCTCAACAGCTTTCTGGGGCACAGGATTCCACATCCACCCAACCCTATGTGTAAACAAATCGTTCCTGATCTCAGTTCTTATCCACTCTTTTCAGATTACTATACAAATTCTTTACATTTATTCGCTTTGTTTTTAAATGTTATCAAATAAATAACCCTCCACTACTTCACTTTCCAGATGGATGGTCTGGGCATCCAAGCAAAGCGAGAAACTGAAGTACTGTAACTGAATTTTCCCCTGGGAGCAGCACTCCGAGACGCTATCCTGCATGAAAAGCGCTGAATAAATGCAGGTTGTTGTTGTTTTCCTTCCAAAGCTTTTTTCTGTATGACTGAACAAGAATCAATCTCTATGAGTGAAAAGGAGCAGAAGCCATTAAACACATTTCTCTGCTTTCTGTCCGTCTGTCTACGAGCACAGAGCCAGCACAAAGCTTCGTTCTGGGAAATGCACTTGTGAAATTCCACAAGGAAGATACTGAAATGCAATTTAAAAGCTCTTTCATGGGTAAAATTAAATATCCATGTCAAACGGTTAACTAAATAACACGTGATCTATTTGCTGCAACTTCACAAAGTATTTATGCTGTGATATAATCACATAAATTGACTTCACCATGTTGCCTCATGCTCAACATGAATTGATCAATAACCTCTGCACCCTGGTGCCCAGGACCGAAACATTCCTAAAAGTACTTCTTTCAACAACTGTAATTGATTGCTTTGACGCAAGCAAGGAAATAAACTGTTGAGAAATCGTGAACAAATAGACTTGATTTGGCAATTGGGATTTGCGTGAAGTGAAATTGGCTGCCTCGTTTGGACCACAAAATCACAAATCAATTCACCTCACGGTAAATTCTGTGAAGCGCTTTGAAACGTCTTGAAGATGGGATAAGGCGCTGTATCAAATGCAAGATTTTTTTTATTATTATTAAGATCAGCTTCTGCTAGTGCAATGCATATTCTTATTGCACCACTGCGAATCTCCTAAAACAAAAAGGCATCTTGAAAAGAAAATCGCAACCATAGTTGCCCTCCTTGCCCAGGCCAACTTTTAATTGAAGATGACTTTATCTTTAAGAAAAATAGCACAAGTGTGGCAGTTGGTCTAGATACTGATGATTAGCAAAAATAAAGTTGTTTGGGAGATACTAGATGGCAGATCTGTGCTTCGTGAGGTTGTACAATTGCCTCATAAATCTGTGGTGCTGTACAGTTTATATTTTATAATGGGCAGTGTTTGAACATTCATCGAGTTGTAAGTTCAGTCTATGAGCCAGTACAATACAGTACTTGTACTTTCTGTGCTGCGAGAAACACAATGTGAAACAAGCACTAAAAGGCATTTGTTGGTCACCTTCTGTACGTATTAGCTCCACTCTGCTCTTCACCTGCCTGAGAAGACTGCTTTGGGAATTTTCTCCAAGGTAACAAATGACTGTGATGGATTCAAAGGTAGTCATTAGATCTCATCAGTGTCAGTAGCTGTGACTGACATTGGTTTCACCTGCATTTCCCAACTGAATAGCTCTGCGAGTCTCCCTACCCCCACAGAATCATTATTTCTGGGATCACTGTGTTGCAAGAAAGAAATATTGAGCCAAACTGCATTGTCCATTCAAACTAGAAACCTTCACAATCAGTCATTAATGGTGGGTTTTAGCTTGAGGCAAAGTCATCCTCAGACACCCTTGACTTGCTTTGTGACATTGTGGAGTCCTGTAGCTCAGTGGTTAGAGCACTCGCTTTGCAAGCGAGAGATCTGAGTTCAATTCCCGGCAGGGTGAAACCTCGGGCAAGTTTCCTTACTCCACACAGAGCCTAATAATAATCCCTCCAAAACCAAAAACAATAATAAAAAAAAATTGGTCATTTTCAATCTACGACTGTTTGTGGGACATTGCTGTGCGCAATTGGCTGCCGCGTTCGCCCACAAATATACAGTCAATTCACTTTACAGTGTGTTCTGTGAAGCGCTTTGGGGCGTCCTCCCGACGTGAAAAGCGCTATATCAAATGCAAGGATTATTATTAAGGATTATTATTATTGCTTTGTATGTTCTGACTGTTACTGGAAGCTGTAAGGTGAAGAACGCAGGTATAAGTTTCAGGCCCACGAGTTTGTTTGCTGTTAAGGAATCTGTTTTGACAATTGGAGAATAAACCGCAGTTGTGTTTTCTACAATCAAATCACCATTATTGAAACGATCTTTTCCAACTGCTTATTTTATAGAATTTCAAGGAAGTTGGACTCCCTGTGAAACAAATCTTCTACGAACTCTGGTGATTTTGTGATGCTGTGAATTGCGCTAAGGTGTGCACACATAGAATCCCAAAATGTGGTGCTCTTTTGTTTCTGAGTCAAATCAATACGGTATGTGGAATGTGAAGATATAAACCAAACACTCTCTCCATATTGCTATACTGCAGGGTGTCAAGCCGCAGTAGAAACACAGCACAAGTGTTCATGATGGTGCAATTTAGCCAACGTTGTTGTACAAAATGAGCATTAATGATAGCACACATCTTGATTTTAGCTTCAACTGACAAAACATCTAATTACATAGCTTCCAGATGTGTTTCAGTACCGATCACCCTGAATACAGTCTCGAGACACCCTAAAATTACTTTGGCAATTAAGATAAATTATGTGTTTAAAAAAATGCCTTGAAATTAACATAAGGGAGGATTCTGTGGATATATTCAAAACCTATTTCTTTATCAAATACTGTAGACTACTCTTCCATTCAAAAGCCCGAAGATTAAAACAATTGTGGCATTTTGCAAAATTTGGGATTTTTGCTCCCATATATAGTCACTCCTGATATCAAATAAAATTAGAAACTTGGAAATGAAATCACTTACCCAGTGCGACAGTCCCCATCAGGAAGGGAGTGCCAATGCTGGAGAAATCATTGCTTATTTCTTGATGAACTTCTGAGCCCACAACAAAGGTGACAATTACCTACACGCAGGGAACAACATTGAAAACAAAAGGATTAATAATAATAATCATGATAATACTTGATTTGATACAGCACCTTATCACATCATTGATGCGGCTTAAAATGCTTCACCAAATGCATTGTAAAGTGAATTGACTGTATATTTGTGGGTGAAACGTGGCAGCCAATTGCTCACAGCAGTGAGTGTCCCACAAACAGTCATAGATTGAGTGACCAAACTTTGTTTTTTTTAAGGGATTATTACCCCCCGAAAGCGATCCACCAATCGACTAACAGCTGGGTTCCTACTTACCTCGAGGTGAACAGAGGCGTGTGGTGCAAGGAAATTTGAGTGAGGTTTTGTCCGGCCCAGGAATCGAACCAAGGTCCTCTCGCTTGCGAGACAAGCGCATTAACCACTGTTACTTTGGCAATATAATGCAATCAAAATCTTCTATTTTCTATTTTTTGCACAAAGGACTCGTGCGAGTATAAGATGCCTATAATTGATTGATTACAAAATAAGAAACATTTAGTACACCATTTGGCAGTGTGTCTGTCTGATGTTCCATTGATAATATCAGTGAGTATCAATGCCATCAAAAATCCAACACTTTCTTCTTTCAGCAATCAAGCGTATGGTTGATATCAGTCATCCTGACAAGTCTTACAATTTTCTATAGATTTTTAACCATGAAATCAACGCAGTACATTCTTCAAGGCAGTGATCTATTCAAGAGTCATGGAGGGTAATTGGCAAGACAATAAACCAAAGATCCAGGAACTTGGAGAACATGTTTACAATGTCTTGGCTTACATCTCTTTAACAATGCAGCTCATTTGTTTCCTTGGTTATCTAAACGCTCAATTTCAGCTGCGATTCATTGTGAAATGTGCAGTATAATGATTTGTACTCTTGCAATATAAATTCATGGGAAGGTCCAAGAATTTCCAATGGATCTTTTTTTNCCAATGTCAGTCAAAAATCAAAAGAGCTATTTGTGCTAGGAAATAAGCAGCAAGTTGAAGTCGAGAGTTTGAGGCGTTTTTGGGGCCCTTATTCATAGCAATAAATCTATAAATGAAGCCTTCAGATCGACTTGTTTTTCTGTTTGGGAATGAAGAAGTATTTGCTGCCAAATGAGTACACTAAATGCCGAATTAAGCTTCAACTCGTAGAAAGATGTGCACCATGTACTTTGTGCACGTTTTCGAATACCCAGAGGAATATCATCTGCCGCATTGACGAGGAACCACACTCTCTACTTTTGCTTTTAACTAGTGTTCCACATAGTTGCAAGATTTCAAGAAGAATTATCCAAATGTACGAAGAACCCATTCTACTTCTGTAACATTTTAATAATAATAATAATCTGTTTGATCTAATTGAACAGGAAAGACAATTTCAACTTCATGTATGATCCAATTATCATTTGTAGTCTTCGGGGATGCACAAAGGTTTTCATTTGCGCGGAACAAAGCATCAGCTGTGGTCACTGATTACACAAGGTATTACAGAAAGAGCTTAATCTCTTTGGTTTAGTCGACTTCAGTGGAACAAACTAAATCAATTAAAGTGGATAAGTATCTAGCAACGCAGGTAGGCTTTGTAGCATATTGAGTTGGATCAGAATTAGCAAGTATAAATATAATACAAGGATTATCTTATGACAATATTGTAATTTTTTTCTGAATTAGATTTGGATCAAATGAGGTCAAATTCGTGCAAATAGCAGCCTTTGTGTTTTAAGATGAAAACAATTTGAAACATACCTAAACAGTGAGGATTAGATGGTTGTTATTAGACAAGTGTAAGTGCAAGTGAACGGGAGCGTAAAAAATGGACATTTGTTATTGTGCTGTGTTAGAGGTGAGTCACGTTCCTCACTAATCAAACCTTGCCATTCAAAAAGTATTTATATTTTTGTATTTTGTGCTGTATTAACAAATCAACTGGGTGTATTCGCCCACACAAGATCACTACACTTTACAGTATATCCTGTGAAGTGCTTTGAGAGGTCTCGAAGAGGTGATAAGGCGCTATATCAAATGCAAAGATTATTATTATTATTATTAATATTATTCTAACAGCAGCGAGACACAAATGAGGAAAAAAAAATCAATCCCTCATTTGAGAAGTTCTCTCTTTGTAGACTGGAGCGATTCTGTAATGCTAAAACGGTGTGAGTTCTTCCCCTGCGCTGCTCCAACTTGACAACCATGAAGAAACCCGTGTACGATAGATGAGAAAGGATTTTTGTAGAGAACGGAATTTTTGTTTGAAGTGTGAGGGCAGATAGTGTGGTCTTCTGTAGCTTTTAGTCAGCCTGAGTTTTCGAACAGTTGATGGGTTTTATAGTTGTCAATCAAATCTGTCTGAGGGAAGCTGTCAAGTCGATCACCCAGTGCCTACAGTTCCCAGGCAAACAGCCATTAAGACTGAAACCACAAACTGTGATCAGGCGTTTTCTTTGTCTCTTCGTTTTCTTTCAAACGAAAAATCTCTGTTGCCCGAGAAGAAGAAACTGCGGCTGATTTTGAAAACTGTTTCTGAGTACGTTAAGCTTTTCACTCAGATTGTGATGCATCTGTCTGTCTGACAGTCTCTTCTTTTGATTTAAAAAAAAATCACTGAATTTTCAATGGCAAAACCTTTTTTTCCTTCTCCCTTGTCTTCGCCGAACAAACTTGAATGTGATGGCAAAATGCACAGTGGATCTTAACACAGCGCATGTTACTGGTGAAGACCCCAAGAAGAGTTGGGGGATCTCAGGGAGGATGTTAGAGCGAGTGCAAGAATTCCAATCAACCTTTGCAGGTCAGACAATTTAAATGCAAGAGAGATGACTGCACTATTTTTTATTACGCGGGATATGTCAGGCAATAATTATAGGATCAATCAGGGTATGGTTGCTGCTGAAACTCCTACCTGATTAATATCCATGGAAAGCAACGACTGCAACATGGCAGAGGGCTAACTTGTACCCAGACTACACCAGTGCTTATCTCTCAACATTAACTGCCCCCACCCTGTGAAATGCCATCCCACAATCTCTCTACCTCACCTCTTGCCTCTTTCAAGGCTCGTCTCATGATTTTCCTCTTTGATCGGGCTTTCAGCACCAATGCAAGTTCAGCTGTGCTGTGGGTTGCAATATAATGCATTATATATTAAGTTAATAACTTAACTCTTAACAAAGAGTTAAGTTATTAACATTTGACAATGTTACTGTTACACCCGTCACTGACAAGCTGATCCTTGTCCACATTGGTTTATTCTTCATTGGAGATGAACGGTTATCATTCATTTTTCACGCTCCTGCCTGTTCAATTACATTTTACGCTGTAAGTAATAACAGACACCTAATCCTCATAGTTTAGGTTTGTTTCAGATTGTTTTCATCGTAAAACACAAAGACTGCTATTTTCACCATATTGACCTCAATTGATCCAGACCTATTCCAATTTTTTTTACAATAATGTAATAATATAATCCTTGTATTATATTTATACACGCTAATTCTGATCCAACTCAATCTGCTACAAAGTTAGTCAATACAAGAGAACAAGACTGGTTTGGAATCAATAGTTTTAATTAACTACCACCTTATTATATCATATGAGTATGTAAGATATCATGAGTAAGAAATTAAACATTTCTCTCCGTTCTGAAGTACACATGGGAACCTTTATTTTTAGCCGGTTCAAAAAACAGAAAGGGAAGTAGTTGGAACTAGTCAGTAAAGAGTTAGTCAAAGGTTTGGCAAGTTTAGGCAAGTCCCTGCCATTGTCTGAATGGCGCGTAAGGTTAGTTAATCTTTTCCCTTTTTAAATCATCATTAATCTTCATAAAAATGAAGATATTCACAATTATTACCAATTCAACATATGTGTTTACTCGGATTTGTTTTCCTTTATATCAAATATATTAGAATAACCTTTCACACTAAGATAAAATGATGTGCGAACATTATCCAATTTCGTAACTCCTCTTAATTATGACTGATGAAGCTTAAAATCAAAACAGAATTACTGCGTGAGACGTACATCTTTCAATTAGAGACCATCAATACGGTTTTAATTGGAATCTGTTCTAATCAGTGGCATTCAAAGGAAAAAATATTTTTCATCATGTGAAAAAAGAGTCAATTAACTTTTATGACTTTTTAAACCTTTCTTGATTATGTGAATCACTGGTACACACACCATTATCGCAATCTTAAACCTCACACATACACACATATTGAGCACAAGAATGCATTTTCTTTTCGATGAAGACATTGCGCAATTGGCTAGATTGCATGTGCACAGTCTTTTCTATTGATGTTGCTGCTGGATTCCTTTCTTGTATAATTTATGAACTTTGCACCTTTGGTACGTTGTAGAATTGATGGTAGATCCTCACCTGGCGGTGGTTTGACTTACGTGGATGTACTGTACAGGGCACGAGTGAGCTATCTCGGTGTCGCTGGCAGCCACAGTGTACCAGGTCATCCCACTGTATAAGAATTGAGTGCAGTGGCTGTTTTCATTGCCACACACAGCAGATGGCACAGCTTCATGTCAGCTGTGTGAACCGGCTGCCAGATCGTCAAACTCTGCTCCTCTGTCAGTCGCAGGTACTGACTCTGCTTGTGTACATCTGCTGCCTGGGGTTGAGCCTCTTTATACCATGATCAACTCTGGCTGCTGGCTCCCTCTCTCACCTGCTCCTCCATATCCACATCCCCAGCAAAGCCTTGGGCACCAATCTTACAGCCCGATGAGACAAATTCTTTACTAGCCTCCCACAATCAGACAAACACCTTCCATCAACTTCAATAACACCTAATTGGCATGATATACTCATTGCTCTCGTGCTCTTTATATTCTGTATATATTCTGTGAAGCACTTTGAGACTTCTCAACAACGTGCTATAGTAAATGCAAGGATTATTGTTATTATTGTTAACATTTTAAATGTGGAATTTATAAGGGCAGCTTTAACTCACTTTATAAACATATGCGTATTCAATCACAC